TGATTTTTTGTAAGTCATTTTAGGACAATCTAATTATTTAGGACTTAATTGTATTCTTTTCATAGTTTAATAAATATTCTATTTAGAGGTATTTTGGGTAGTTTCAATTTTTTAGAAAAGTCAAAGGTCATTTTGGAAATATGAGTTTGTATTTGGGTTACTTTGGCGTATAACCTCATGATTTATTGACCGATTTAAACATAATTTAAACTTATACGAGTGAGTCAATATGTTTGCCATCCTAATTTAAACATACACACATCTTTTCCCAACCATCGAGCTTTGTGGCTCGGCTCATGCGAAGTACTCATGGTCAATGCTCGTGAGTGGGTCAACCAAAACAACTTATATTTGACTCGATTCATTGAATAGTAATACAAAAAGTTTTGACTCATGAAATTTTTGAGTGATTGACTCGACCTTATATGAGCCCGAATGGCTCACTAATTAACCCAAATGAGCTGAACTCACAAGCCGACGAATGACTAAGGGGGTGCATTTAATTGAGACTTTTATAGACTTTTTTAAATGGGTGATTCTTGTGGATTTTATAGACTTTTAAGTGACATCAATGGATTTATTAAGATTTAATAAAAATCTTCCATGTACTTCTGTAAATTTTGATTAAAGATTTTTAAAAACTTTTAATCTTTCAAATTTATTATATACCTGAAAAATTACAATCTTTTTTATTACCTAATTAACATTTTCGAGAATCATGATGCTCACAAAATTTTATTGGGTGAAGTCACTAATCACGACCCAGCCATTCAATTACGGTTCAATTAAAATAATAAAAAAAAATTACATCAATTTCAAAGAACATCCATAATTTTTTTTTCACAAAATTAACATAAATTCTAAGAACACAAATTGTTCTTAACCAAAAAAAAAAAAAAGGATCGATTGCATGGAATTCTATGCTTTGAAGCAATTGCATATAATTTCAATTTAAAAGTAATTATGTACATATAGAATAATCATAAATTGATTACAACAAATGAATTGAAGAAATATGAGAAAATCAAAATCTTATAATTGAAAGAAAAAAGATTTTTTTTTTTTTTGGATTCTGAAATCTTCACGAATCTCAACGTATATGAGAGATTTTCTTGAAAAATTTTTATTTATATTTTTCATCAAAAAGTCTTCACAAGTACAGTTAATAAATAATAATCCATTGTCTATTTGAATATCTCATAAATTGTAAAGGCATATTAAAAATTTCAATTGAATGCACTTATAACTTGGAGAGGCTTTTAAAAAGTTTCAATTGAATATCTCGTAACATTTTTTTAAAGTTTGTAAAAGTTCCAATTGAATATATCTAAATTTTAGAAAGTTTTTAAACTCCTGTTTGGGTCACATTATTTTTTTCATTCTCATTTCTTCTACTCATTTTCAACCACACATTCTTCAATAAAATAATATTTTTCATCACATCAATAATCTTTCCTTCTTTTTCAACCACATATTCTCCATCACATTACTTCAAAAAAATGCATTCTTTCATTTTAATACGTACCAAACGGGCTCTAAATATCTCAATTGAGCACACCTCAAGTCCGTTTAGCACACGTAATTTCAACATACAAATTCCCCAACCATTCAGCTCTGTAATTGTCACCACTCCACCGACGCTAAAACAACCGCCAAGGCGTCATCATCACATGTATCTTCAGAAGCCGCCACCCAAAAATCTAACCACATTCACATAAACCCCTCAAAACTCAAGAAGCTAAAGCTAAAATGGAGGGTTTCAGATCCAAAACCCTCAAAGATGAAAGCCTTCAAATTGAAAGTTACAATCCCTGCGACTATGACTCCACCTCCAATGGAGTTCCCAGCTACAAACCCAGTTCAAATCCAACTGGGCTTAAAGATCTAAGGTGCTACAGTGCATCATATGCATCATCTTCATCAGCACAGAACAATGCCCAGATGGATATTGTGCCTGCAGATCAGTGGAAATTCAAGAAAGGGNNNNAGATCAGTGGAAATTCAAGAAAGGGAAGTCAACAAATGGAGCAGTTTCCAAGAATTGGAGTTTTAATGACCCAGAATTGCTGAGGAAAAAGAGGGTTGCCAGTTATAAAGTCTACACTGTTGAAGGGAAAGTTAAGGGATCTATCAAGAAAAGCTTTAGATGGCTCAAGGAGAGGTGTACACAAATGGTTTATGGGTATTGATGATCTTTCTCATACTATGAGTACTTGTTGTTATTCGGTTTCATGCTTTAATTAATCCCCCTTGTGATGAATTGATATAATTTGTGTACTATATATATATATGTGGTGTTCTTGACTATGAGTGTAAAATTAAATGTATTGTATCCTATATAAATTAAGTCATCTGTTTGATATATTGTTGAAGAAGCATTTTGCACAAAGTGGGGTTCTTTTAGCAGAGGAATAATTGATTCTTCTGCCTTTGCATAATGTGTTTTCTCACTCAATACTGGGTGATAAAAGCAATCTATGATTACTTGTTCTTGTTGGTTTTTGTTGTTCAATCTTACAGATGTATTAGAAACGGAGGGTTGAGCAATGCCTTATTGCACTATCCACCTGACTTAGCTAAGCTAATATATAGTATGAGAGTTGGAGACTGGCGGCTTCTCATCTTGAGGTGCACACCGGTTTAGGAACATATGCGACGGGATAAAGAGAGAGTCAACGGAAAACTACCAAATTTCTATAATTTTGAGTGAGTTAATAAAAATATCAGTTGTATACTATATGAGTTGAATACAAGTTGTTAATCAACTGCACTAGATGAAAGATTTGGGCAAACCTGGCTTTCCTTTTTTGCAAACTCACTACAATATGTATATTCAGTTTTCGAGTTCCTGTTACCAAGTACAATGTATATCTATTCATTGTCCAGTATTCATTAAGAATAACAAACCCATGTAATAACATGACAAATAGCTAAAAACAAACATTGTAGATTTGAACAAGAAATCTCAATAGTTTTCAGGTTTTCTTTAGTCCTTTAACACATCGAAGGCCTCATTGGCTATGCGTGATGTTCATTCAAAGGCATATTGACGGAGAGAGCATGATGAATTCATTGATGACTTTGATTTGCTCGACTTTTCTGTGAAAGATTATGGCTTTCCTGCCAATTGTGGTTTGTGGTCTTTAGTTGAATGAAAAATTGGCTATCCTGTGACGATCCTATGCACAATATGCTCCATGATTTTACGTTTTTGGCTCGGGTTATATGCAGTGCACAGCTTTTAAGTGGGATTTGCACACACAAAGTTAAGTCAAGTCATCTATTTTTATGTAATAGTGGAATGTTTGGTACAAAGGACTGAATAGGAGTAGACAAGATTAAAGAGGACTAATACGTATGAGATTTTTTCCCCATATCCTATCTAATTCAGTATGCGAACATGCCTGAATGTCCTTACAATTCCTTCTAAAATTTGTGTGCTTTTTTGTGTTTAGAATAGCTAATAGATTTTGTCTAGAATTTTTACACTCAGGGAAATCTGTACATATGATATTTTTTAAGGGAGTTTTCTACAAGCTGATTGAATATTTTTCCAGCACATTTTGGTTTCATCTGTTAAAACTTAGTTTCATACTTGGCAATATGATTTGCTTCAACACTTGAAAGTTATTTTTGACATTAGAATTGAATAATAAACTGCATCTCTTAGCTGCCCCCAATTTGTTATGATATTATATATTGCCCAAGAAATGGATCTTACACTAAGCAGGGTGATTCAAACCACTCAACTCCACTAGGACAATTCAACCAGAAACTTAAAATACACAGACTATGCCTCCGATTTGCTATAACCTTAGATAGAGGGCCAGCACACCAACAAAAGATTTGTCTCCAGTCCAAGATTTCTTCGACTGTGAATTGCTAGTTCTCGAATCCAGAAATGAAAGCTCTAATCAACAATTAGAATATGACTCTAGTTACAGCTTACCATAGCATCCTTGCTCAAGGAAGATTTTTTAACTGGACTCTTTCTCCTAGATAAACTCTCAGCATATATAAGTTGTTCCTAACTCCTCCTTCGAGAAGGATCTGCCGATAATCCGCCTTGCCCACCTTCTTCTCGTCTGCAATAAAGTTAACAAAAGAAAACTCTTAATCGCAGAAGTGCTAAACGATCTTCCTGGAAAGGGGAACAACCAATACACTCTGAGAATATTATACAAGATTCAAGAATAAGATAACAGGATTCCCAGTGAATTTGTTGTTAGTTTGCATCTTTTAGTCTTCTTAATAACATACAGAAAGAGGATGAGAAAAGAGTAATACTGGGAAATTACATGAGGTAAGATGCTTGATAAGTGCATTTTATATACTTATTCGAGGTCTAAAATAGTGATATTTGATAGTTTTTTTGACAAAATATATTATAGATTGTTGTATTTTATGTTATATAGGTAAAACTCAATGGTTGAACGAGGAATCGAAAGAAAGAAACGAAAATTCGTGAAAATGGGCAAAATCCGAAGTTTGAGGACCACATTGTAATTATTCAATAGTTGATTTGGACGCAAGAAGATAAATTCCTAGGAGATAATTGGATGAAATTAGAACTTAAAAAGGAATGGAATACGATCAAAATCAATTTCCAATTGTACAAGTTATATTACAGATTTTTATTTGAATATTGAAGCCTATATTTGGCACGGTAAACGTCCGAATTGGAAAAATTCTATTTCTAGATAAGTTGTAGCCCTTTGAGCTAAATTTCCAACGCACATTGAATCTCCTTAATCGGATATTGAGAAAGAAAGTTATTGCCAAAATACTGACTGCTGTGTAGAGACAAAGCGAAGACAATTGTCCTTATTCGATTAGTTCTCTTTTGAAAACCAATTTGGACGTGATTTTCAACCAATTTTCGACTCCTACAAATACAAAACATCATAATACATATGGAGAGCCTCTGATATTCATATAATACGCCAATATTCATCACCAAAAAGAGGGAAAATCAATAATTTTGTGAGAAATTAAAAGAGGGATTACAAAAATTCATTCAAGTGAAGATCCAACTTGATTTTTGGACAAAGAAGAGAAAGTGCAACTGGAGATTCGTCAATAAACCATTGAAGAGATTCAAGATTTCAAGATTCGTCTTCATTTTCATCTTCTCAATTTATCAAGAATTCGACTTATGTCTTTTCACTTAAATATGATTTTTTTGCAATTTCAACATGTTAGGCTAAACTAAACATTGTTAGGATGTGATGAACCATTGTTATGACTTTTTTTTTTTATTTGAATAAATAGAATTATATTAATTTGATTAAGTGACTGGATATTTATTATTGTTTTTATCGTCTTTTCAATTATCTGGTCAATAGTTGAATTGTTTGTAAATTTTATTGTTATCGAGAGAGAATGGGATCTAAGCACATAGGAATAAACATTGTGAGGTTCAATTATCTGGTCAATAGTTGAATTGTTTGTAAATTTTATTGTTTTGCATGGTTGATAAATATGTTCTAGTTCATTAATGCATTTATCGTGTTCTTTTTTTCCATCGAGAAATAAGAAGGTCG